CAAATGTCGCTTGAGGGACAAAACCACTCCCAGGTTGAGAACCACTGAGTTCGGGGGACTAGTTGGAATTCCCTATTCAGTCGTCTGTTCTCTTGGCTTCAGCCTTCAGCAGAGTTAGGTAAGCGGTACTCAGTAGCGTGGCACATAGTAGCTTAACCAATCAGCTCTTTGCCACTGTCACTTAACGGTGGCCCAGAGGCAGCTTGTAGCAGCACAGTTCTGCAGCATTACGAGGGACACAGAATCTCTTTCCCTCCTTTGTACGTCTGGTTGTCTTACGTTCCGAGGATGGTTGTCCCACCTCCGACATCATACCTACTTTCCAGACAGAAAGGAGAAAGGCATGCGCCAGATGAGGTGGCCCCACCTCCAGAAGAACTTTCCCATAAGCCCTACCCAGCAATTTTTGCTTCCGTCTCACTGGCCTGGGTCACATGGCCATTCCTAGCTGCAAAGGAGTCTGAGAAATGTAATCTGTTGAGCCGGGCACATTGTCACCCTGGACCAAGTGAGGATCCCGGAGTAAGAACAAAAGAGAAGGGTGGCTTTGAGAGGTCTATTGTCAGGGTCTGCCACCACTCTTAACTTAGATTTCTGGGTACAGTGACAAGCTCAGCAGTCTCTCGCCAGGAATCCACCAGAAGAAGCCAGATAAACCTCCCAGGCAGCAATGAAATTCATCTGTGCAAATTTCCCTAGTGAATTCCCCTAAGAGGAGGCTCTTTATTTCTGTCTGCTGGTAGATTCTTTAAACCAGGATGAAGTAGATAAATGCAAATCACATAGCAAGCAGTTGAAAAACAAGATTTCTAGCAGGGATGTGTCACTTATTCCCTTCCTGCCCCTGTCTCATTCCCCCGGCACTCACACTGAGCCAGTGCAGTGCAGTGGCCAGGCATCCACATCACAAGAATCCCATTAAGTATCTTCTCTACACATTGTTGCAAAGCCTAAACCCACGCCTTAATTCCTCTGGGTCAGGCGTTACTTTCCCCAGGTGCCTTTGAAAATGCCAGTTCTCACCCTGACCAGTGTGGCTCAGTTGGTTGAGCATCGTCCCACAAGGTGAAAGGTCACCCATGCAATTCCTGGTCAGGGCACATAGCTGGGTTACAGGTCCAGTCCCAGGTCCAGGTGCACACGAGAGGCAACCAATAGATGTTTCTCTGTTACCTTGATGTTTCTTTCCCACTTTCTCTCTCCCTTCCCCTCTCTCTAAAAACAAGTAAATAAAATCTTAAAATGTAAGTTCCCACGGAGATAAGAGATGATTACCTCTTTACCACCTTGGTGTTGGTCTTAGCTCATTAGCCCTCTGCACCCCGCCCTGCCCCCCCCCCCCCGGCATTCCTGAGCAGCATTAGGGCACGGAAACACACGAGGTCTCGAGAGGGAGGCCGGCGCAGCAGAGGGAGGCAGCCTGTCTGTCCTGGAAAGAAGTAGGGCACCCAGCCGGCTCACCTCCTCCGCCGTAAAGCCACAGTGACAACTGGGACATTGGTCGGAGTTATTAATAAACACTGCTGGTAAGTTTGGGTCCAGTAGATGACAACCCTGTGACCTTTGTGTTGACTTCGCCTCCCTCCCTCTCTCTCCCCACCCACACTTCTCAACCTGAAGACGCAACATCTGGCTTTCCTGTAATGTGCTTTGACATTAACTCAGGGAATAACACTGCTGGTAAGAGACAAACACCAGAGACAGAAAGTGGGGAAACGGACGTCTCCAGGAGCCCTCACATCAAAGCGACCAGTGACAATGATGCCGTCGTACACCAATGCTTGCCACACACCAATGCTTGCCGCACGGAGCCTGGGCTTTCCGGGGAGACGGTGCTGGCCTGGGTCCGGGTTCCAGACGGGCAGACCTCTACAGTGCCTCCCTCGGACATGGCACACGAGGTCCCTGCTCTGGACCCTCCACATTACAGGGGCTGGCTCTGGCCCTCCTCCTGCTGTAGCCTTTCCACGGGGCAGAGTCCATAGGACCAAGGGTTCGCGCCCACCCAAAGCCCTCTCTCTCCTGTTAGACCACTGCCTCACATACCCAGGACACTGGCACCCCCTGCCTGGGTGGCCCTGAGCTGGCTTCCAGGAACCCTCTTTCTCCTTCTCTGGGGTAGACCAGACCACTGGCGTGTGCACCCTGGGACCCAAGGGTGGCTCAGGGATGGCTGTCTGTGTGGGAGGGGTGTGCAGGGGACCCCGTCTTGCAGGCTGGTGCATTTGCCAACGTGAACACGAGGAGGAGGCAGGGGGGAGGGACGAGAAGAGGACGGGCTGCAGTTTGGGGGCTGTTTCTCCCTGTGCTGCTAACACAAAGCTCTGAGGCGTCTAAATATTCTAAACTCAAACCTTACCTTCCAGGTTGGTATAAAGATATATTTGTCAAGGTAGTCAACAAGAATGTATTTTGTTTAACATATTTAATCTATTTTATAAGCTTGATTTATAATGTGTGAATATTTAGGCATATGGTTTGTGGCCTCTGCTTATACTCTAGCCCTGGGCCCTGCAAATTTTAGAGGTAAACCTGCTCTACAAACATATTTTGTTTGGTCTGCAGAGTGTTTTAGACATTGGAAGATTTCACGTAGAAATTCTAACTTGGGCTTTTCTTGACAAACTGAAAGATATGATAACATTGGGTCTGAATTCCCGCATGGCAGCATGGGATAGAACCAAGGGGTAGCTGCCTACTGTAGGGGTAGCTCACTCCTCAGTTTGCCACACTCCCCACCACTCCCAGTTGCCCTATGACCAGTGAGTTTCACGTATTTACAGTGTCTGCCTGGGCCCTGGCGGCATCTGAGTGCGGGTCAGTGGCACACCAGCCTGAAGGAGCTATCCCTGTCATGGGTCGGAGGCTGGGTCAGAACCTGGTTGGTGGGACGTTCATGGTCAAAACTCTGAAAGTTGAAATCTAGTCACAACTGTCTCTCCAGTTTCCCTGGGTGGAGGTGAAATTGGCACTGGCACTCATGCCGGGCTCAGCCTTCTGCCGCCTCTGCCAGGCAATCAGAAAGGAGAAGTGAAACTGCCCGGGGTCACTAGAAAGTAGAGAAAGAAAGGGGAAGAGGGGTCCTTGCTGAGAGATGGGAACTGTGCACGTGAGCCCCGCATTTCCAGTTTGGCCCCTGCATGTCATTCAGAAGGTGCTCGGCCCAGGTCATGTGTCTTCTGTGGGAGTTTCTGGGGGGAAATCACAACGCTAGAGCAGGGGAGGGGAGAAAAATCTCTGATTGGAAGGAAGCCTGCCCGGACTTTCATGAGAAGCCAGGGCCTGGCAGAGCTGGCTCTAGAGAAAGCAGGGTGTGAAGTTCTGCTTCTTAAGACTGAAAGAAAAACCGATTCCTTTTGATGTGTGCAACATCTGAGGTGACCACTGGCTTCTTCGCTCTGCGTAAAGGGCAAGAGCTACCTAGAGCATTAGCCACCCGAAATCAGGCCCTGGAGGAAATTGATGGGAGAGATCCCGCTTGCCACCGCCCCTCATCACACACCCCAGCCTACACTGAGTCCGTGAACTGGGAGAAGAGCACCGTTTCCATGTCTTATTGGGAGATCAAAGGTTCAAATGCCAGATGCCGTGTTGGAAGCAGTGCTGACCTTGGGGGCGGGCCTTCTGGGCTGCCTCCAGCAGGCTCTGAGCCCAGTTCCCCCACACTGGGCATCCACAGGCATCAGCTTCAAGGATGACGGGCCCAACGGTGGCAATGCGCCTCCAGAGGTCCTCGAGCTGGACTCCTCCCACAGACGGGCCACTGGAGGTCAGGTGAGGACGCAGCTCTTCCAGGCCTCAGCAGAGTTCAGTGGTCACCCTAGCCCAACACTGGCCCGACACTGGCATCATTCCAGCGGGGGAGGGGAGACTTGCGTAGGAGAGGTCAAATTCAGACCTTGCCTTGACCACCCAGAACTGCTGGCCCACAGTTGAGGAGGTCCTGACACCAGGGAACAGGCCTGCTGCCCTCTCTTCCCGTGGTCACCACGTCCCCAGATGGCTGCCAGCAGGAAGGCAGTGGGCAGTGGCAGTCCCTTGGAGGGACCAAGGGATGAGGCTGAGAGTAACTGCGGAAGGGTATCCCACGCAATGCCCATCAGTTTGTCCCAGCTGGCTCCGCAGGGGCCATGTGTGGGGGGCCCTGCCATGGCTCTTGGGCAGTGGTGTGGTAAGACCAGAGCACGCAGGCCAGTGCGCACTCAGCCTGGGGATCTCTGAGGACTGGTGTAGGGATTGGCCAAAACCGTGAGTCTGAAGCTCTGAAGACGAGCTGGTGTTGCCTAAGCCACTGCCGCTCTCAAACTGAGCTCCAAGCGGCAGCCTGTGGGGCCTCGCGGAGACAGGCAAAGCTGTGTGTGCTGTATCAAGCTCCCCAAGGGAGGTGGCGTCTTCAGCAGGACATGCAGACCCACTGGCAGGACCGTGCCTGTGTCCCTCAGCCACGTGCTGCCCCACGAGAGCGTGAGGAAAGTGCTGTCTTGCATGTGAGGGGTGGCCCTTGTGTTACTAGAATTCCTGGCACGGGGCGGCAGGCTGCAACATCCAGGCCGGTTGTCTAGACGGAGCAGAGTGAGTGTAGTCCTGTGTGTGTGTGGGCGGGGCGGGGCGGAGTGGGGGTGGGGGTGGGCCGCGGGCGGAGCATCAGTCTGAAGGACCGTTTGCCAAAGGGCATCTTGCACTGGTCCTTCTCCCGGTCTAGAGAACGACCTGCTGACGGTCTGGGAAGAGTGAGGCCACGAGGGATGGGAGGTGGAAGGTCATGGTGAGGTGATTTGGGAAGAAGAATCAAGAAGGTGCCTAGCGGGAGAATTGAAGATTCTTCAAAAACCCCAGCTTCCCAAGGAGGTTAATAAACCATGGAAAGTAAGCGATATTAGCAGAGTCCCAGAGCTTTAAGGGCTCTTAAGTCCAAAAACCAAAACCAAAAACAAAAAAGGTCCCAGCCCCACAGAGTTTAAGTTTTCAAGGGAAACTGCTTTACCAAACTGGTTTCTTTTAAGACATTTATTTAGAAAAATAACCCTCCCCAGCCCTCCCCACCCTGTGTTGTAGGCCTTTGGCGCTATGGCTGACACAACTCTGGGCTGGGCCTCCGTCCGCGTGGGGTCCAGCCGGGGCAGATGGGCTGCCGCCCTGCTGGGAGGCCTGGCCCACTTCCAGCTGCTCCAGTGCTGTGCGCAGTCTTTGTCCAGGCCTCTGTCTTGGCGTCTCCAGGCAGAGAGAGGGCTCTGAGGGGCGAGGGCCACCTGGCCACAGTCTGTGTGCCCCTCCGGAGGCCTGCTGGAGCAGCTGGGGGAGAGCTTTGGCACCTCTGTTCAGGGCTGAAAGCGCGGGGAGCTGACGTGAGGCTGGTGGAAGGCGTGGGCACTGTACACCACCTCGGGCGGCGAGGGCGCGCTGGTGGCCAGCACGGAGCACAGGGGCTCGTGGCTGCTGAGCACCGACGTGAAATACTTCATCTCCTCCGTGAGCTGCTTGATCTCCTTGCGCAGAGCCGCGTTCTGTTTCTCCAGGTCTTCACTCTCCTGTGAGGGGGAGGATCGGCATTAATGTCAGGCAGGCCCCAGGGTCTGAGAGGTGCGGAGGCAGCAGGAGGAGCCCAGATTGGACTTACAGGCACATCCATGGGGCAGGGCATCGGAGTCTGTCTGCACATGTGAGTGTGTGCACATGCTCACACAGGTATTGGCAGTGCTGTGTGTGTGGTGCATCTGTGTAAGCACGTGTGTATACGTGATGCGTGTGCATAGATGTTAAGTTGGACCATATGCAGTTGTTGGTGTGTGTTTGTCTGACCCATAAAGAGGGCAGTGTCTTACGGTCCCCACTCATAAGAGATGTACATGTGATGTGAATGCACATGTGAACTCACATGGGAGTGGGTTCCTTTGTACCTGCGTGTACATGGGTCTCTGTGTGCATGTGGGCTGAGAGTGGCAGGTACGTGTCAGAGGAAACCGGCTGGCGGGCAGTGCCCGAACAGATGGAAGAGCGTACGAGAACATGTCAGCTCCGATTTCACTCTTTTCCGCTCTGGGCCGTTCCACGTGCGGCCCGAGTGGCCCCAGCGCTGGGAGCTAGTCCCCCGAAAGGAGTCCGCGGTGAGCTGCCTGTGCCCCCCGGGCTCTGGGACACTCAGGGTCCCATGAGTACTAAAGGGTCAGTGTCCACCACACAGAGTGGGCCTGGCCCACTCTGTCCCGCACGCACAAGGGCCTGGCAGATGGCATTCTGGGTGTGTCCCAAGCCCGCGTGGTTCCTCTTTTCCAGAAACACCTCTCCCCTGTTGCTTAGGAGAGCCATCAGATACGTGCTGGTGAAGAAAGCTCACATAAAGAGTGCTGACTACTGATCACATCGTTAATTAATCAACAATGACACTGGAATTAGCGTTTACTGGAAAACAATCCGCCTTCAGAAGACCCAGGGGAAGTGCTTTTCCAATGGGCCTTTCAAGGTTCACAGGCTTTGACTCAGTGAAACTGACCTTTTCCACTAACCATTGGTGCCCACGGAGGAAGGGAAATGGTGCTGGAGATGCAAATAAATCACATTTCAGATCAAAAAGCAACCTAATATTCGAAGTCCGGGTGTTATTGTGCTAGTTCTGTTAAATTTAGGTCAGCATTTCCCCAACTTGCCATATCATTACAATTTAATGTGAGGGCTTGTTAAAAATACAGTTTCAGGTGCGTCCTGAAATCTAGAGATTTAAACTCCTTGGGTTTGGAATTTGAGGTGAATTTTGAAATTTTAATTTTTAACAAGTGCTCTAGGTCATTCTAATGATCAGACAAGTTTGAAAACACTAGTTAAATGTGATATTAAATTTGTTTCAATGATTCAAGCAGTCATTAAGCACTTGTATCTAGTACATATGAAATCAGATGTTTGTTGATTGACTGGTTGATGATTTCACCTGCTGGACTAGAAGATGACTCAAAATTATGATGGGCAGTGAGCAGCTGTAAGATAACTTGACATCGAAAGTTTGCCTTAAATAACCCACCAGGAGCATGAGCCTCATGCAGGCTAATGAGCGAGTTAGTTACATTGCCAGTCGCCCTAACCCTGCATCTGGGAAGGTGGTCGAGGAGCGTAGGTCCGTGGCGTTACCCATCAAGCCAGCTTCCAACCGTTTATAAAGGACAGATGTGATCATGCACAGCCTCAGCCTGGCATTTCCTGTATGTGGCCCTGCGCTAGAAATGTGCCCAGATAAGTACAAAGGAAACCCCCATCTCTAAAATGGGGTGGGTGGTGGGCGGGACACTGGCTGCTGCTTCTGCAAGGTGTGGCTAGCTTACCATTTGGTTGTTTCTGGGCACATCCCGGAGAAAGGGCATCCCCTCTTTACCGAAAGGTAAGAAAACAACACTTAGCCTGGGAGGGGTAGGGGGTGTTGGTAAGACGGGAACTGGGTGCCTGGAGTGCTGGTCCCTTCCTCTAGCCCTTTTCCTCGCCCCCTCTTAGAGTTTCCACTGGTGATAACACTTACTGTAAATTCTGTGCTCTGAAGAACCTGGGCAAACCCCGAGGCAGAAGGGAGGGACGGGGTAGGCGGGTGCACAGGGACCAATGCCTTGGCTCTGACCTTCTCCCCGCCTAGAGGCAGGCCCAGCTTTCGGGAAGTAACTGCAGGTCCTTCCGAGCTCTGGCAGCTAAGCAAGCTCCGCTGAGCTCTCTCTAGCTTTCTCATCTCCCCATCCCTGCCTCACCAGCTTGCAGTCCCCAGAGCTCTAGAAGTGGGCTCATAACCACTGCCGCCTCTAACCAGAAAACCACCACCTAAGACAACAAACTTGTCTTTACCTTGAGGAGCAAGACTGCTTCCTGCTCGGGCCCCAGAGAAGCCAGCGCTGCCAGTCTAGGGGCCATGCAGCGAGCCACTTAACAAGAGAAGCAGCTTGACTTCCCTTGTGGGAGGAAGCAGCTGATGAGGGGCCTCCTTCCTCCACATCCCCACCTGCCGTTGCTCGGTCGGTCTACTCCGACCCTCCCTGGGCCAGTCGGGGCCTGGAAGGGGCTCACCCCGGAGCATCCGGCAAAGATGCTCGTGGGAGCAGCTGTTGACACAGAGGTAAAACGATCACTTCCCCTGACTTCTCGGTGGGGACCGGGAACCTAGGACTCAGCTAGGGAGAAGAGCAAAGAAGCATTGGGACGTCAAATCTGGCTTCTGATATGCCTGTCTTCTGCCACAGAGGTGGGCCTGCATTTGTCCTTCCGAGTAACCGGCTTTCTTCTCCGAGGGACTCACGTGGGCCCTTCAGGCTCCACACAGTGGCCCTCTGAGGTGGCTATGCACGGCCAGCTGCCTTCATCATCCCCCCTTCACAGAAGAGGTCAGCGGAGACCCTGGACAAACCTACTGTGCCTACCCACCCAAACGACAACAGGCTGGTGGCAGCAGCTGCTGAGAAAAGGGCTGTAGGATTGACCCCGAGACACCTAATTTCTAAGAGGTCCAGCAACTTTGAAGAGCGACTGACCCGAAGCCCCAGAACCACATAGGGGCAGAGCAGGGCAGGGCTCGGCTCAGGCCTCCCCAGCTCAGCCCTGAACTCTTTAGCACACCCAACTGATTCCCCTGAGACACTGGCCACTCAGGTGGGATTACTAAATCCTGGGCTATTGTACAGTCTCCGAAGAGAAAACTGTCCTGGTTTGTGTGATTCTTAAGTACAGCACAGTACAAGATTCCTGAGTCGGTTGCATTCCTCCACCCACAGAGCTGGGAACCTGCCTCCTGCCCTGAGTTGAGAAGGGACCTCCTGTCCAGCTGTTTTGCTGGCCGGCCATCCCCAGGCTCACTCTTCCTCCAGATGCAGAGTGAGGTCCGCAATACACGGCCACGGCGGGCTCCATCAGCGGTCACTGGGGTCAGGGCTCCTGGGTCCTGATCCTGGTTGGGTGACTCTTTCTGAGCCCGTTGCCTCCCTTTGAAACCGGAAGACTGGACCAAAACAATGAGTCTCAGCCTTGGCCACGTGCTGGGATCAGTGGGGTCCCCTGGGGAGCTTTACCAATACTGACGCACACTTGTGATTTAACCAGCCTGGGGTGCAGCCTGGGCACTGGCTTGTTAAAGGCTCCCCGGGGGATTCTAATGTGCACTGAATGTTGAAAACCACAGGATTAGAACATCTCCAAACCCTCTTCAACTCTTGAATATTTCGGATTCCAAACTGACTACCTGAGCATATCTGCAAACCAGAGCATCTGTTGGGAAGGTGCTTGTGTGTGTGTGTGTGTGTGTGTGTGTGTGTGTGTGTGTTTGTGTGTTGGGACAAAGGAATGCAGACTCAAGTAATATGAGAAAAACAAGTAGAAACCAAATATTTAAAAAGAATAGTGCAGTTTGACTGAATAGCTAATATGGATTGAATACTGCTGTTTTAAGTACCTCAGGGTTATCATTATATTTAATCTCTGCCAATCCAATATGGTAAACAGTATTATAACGCACATTTTGCAGAAGAGGAAACTTAAGGTACAGAGAAGTTAAGTGAGTTGTTCAAGGTCACACAGCTTGTAAGTTGCAGCACTGGGGCTTGAACTGAGGCAGTCTGGCTTCAGAGGTTGCCCACCATCCTGTCTGCCTTTGAAGTCTGTTTAAATCTTTTGATATTTGATCATTATCTCCTGTGAGGCGTCAGCCCTGTTAGCTTTCTAATTTCACCCTCCCTCTTCTTCCACCTCATGCAAATCCAGATGCAAACATTCACAGTTCACCCTCACCTGCGGGGTTACCTGGTGCCGGCCCTATCATGAACCACAGCCTGGGGGTGGCTACAGAGCAGTCTTCCTGGTGGCGTGGGAACATTCTGGGAAATTCCCTACTGGAGGGGCCAAGGAGGGGGTCACTCTGTGAGCTCTTAAATGATGGGGAATCCCCAGGCTGGTCCCTTACCCACAGGGAAGCCAACTGGGACCAAGGCCAAGGCCAGGCTCTCACCCAAAGCAGGGACTCTCCAGCCATTCTGAGCAGGGCTTGCTCCTCCTTCCTGCCAGCTCTGGATTAGCGCCTTGACCTTCTCTTTGAATCTTCTGATCACAGTTTCCAGAAAGGTGAAAATAGTCCCTGTGTGCTTCTTCATCAACAGAACCTGCAGTCACTTACTGGTCGGGTGACATTTTAGTTCTTACCCACACTTAAATACGAGAATAGCATGTGAAGCTGATACCCCTCCCACCCAGTCGTATGTTCAGTCTCCAGCATTACCAGCCCCCATGCACCAAAAGACACACACAGGGCAGAGCCCACCATTCCTGGAGAAGTCTGCACACGGAGAGACAGGACATTGCCCAGGCCACAGTGGCATCTCCGCCTGTGTCTCCCACTAGTCCTGCGGAAAGGGGCCCCGCCTCCGGTCCCTCACCCGACGAGGAGAGGAGAGTCACGAAACCACAGGTCTGTGCACCGCATAATGTCTATGTCTGATTCTGGAGAAATCTTCACTTTCCTGCCTTAAAGCTGAAGATCTAGGATCATCAGCGCCCTCATCACCAACTGACACCTAGC